ATGGCGCTATCGGTTGAAATATTAGTATGTCAAGAAACTACTGTACCCGACACTAGATGGCGCTAGTGCCAAACGTCAACTTAGGCGCGCAACAATTCTAAAACCAAGGACAACTCTGTCGCCTGCCGCATGGAGAGCCTCCGCTGATGGGTTGTCAAGAGAAAAGGTTACTAGAAACCCATTCTCCTCGTCCCTACGGTGGAGGTTGTGCCCTTAACAACACAGCCGCCTCTTCTGGAGAGTCAGCTTTGCTGAGGGTCGGGTATGTAGTACCCAGCTGAGGCTTAGGCAGTTTGCCCTCAGTTATTATCAAGAGCTCTGCTTCCGCCAGAGTTTCAGTTTGCTGACTTCACCTACAATCCAATTCTGGCTTGCCTTATTCAGGCACGTTACCAAAATCTAGCCTGGCTTGTGGGTGAAACCAGAAAATTTCGGTTTCACTCCTGGCTGCACTCCACAGGCTGTCTTAGCTATAGCCTGTGTTAGTGCCCAGTAGACCAACTGCATCGACAGACCGACTGCGGTTTTTCGCCTTTGAAATCGAGAGAGCTTTGGGCAAAGGAATTTCATCCCAGGCCTTCTAGCAGAGAGAGCGAGGGCCTATTCGGCTCCTATATCAGCTGCTATCAGCCTCCTTCCCTGCACTTAATAGCTCGTCTCAGGTTGAGGCGTATTGCAGTGTGTTGGTGAGGCTAAATGAGCCTACTCTAGACCCAGAGACAGTTCCATTTAAGGAGACTTGAGTTTTTCAAAATGTCAGTTATCGTCCATTTTGGTTCCACGATTAATTAGGGAAATATTCGGTAAGCAGTGCGTGTTACCAGTGATGACCTTCGAACCGAGACGTGGTCCTTCAGTACTGGCCGTATGAGGACGCTCAAAGTCTCTCAGCGAGCTATGGAGAGGGCTACGCTCGGAGTTCCTCTTCGTGATAGACTCAGAAATGAGCATATCCGCAGTAAAACCAGAGTGACCGACATAGCCCAACGGATTAGTAAGCTGAAGTGGCAATGGGACGGCCATATAGGTCGAAGAACCGACAACCGTTGGAGAAAAAAGGTTCTCGAGTGGCAGCCTCGTAAAAAGAAGTGTAGGGCGACCCCCCACTAGAAGGAGTGACGACCTGGTAAGACATGCAGGAAGTCGATGGATGCAGGTGGCTCAGGACCGTGCTTTGTGGCATACCTTTGGGGAGGCCTATGTTCAGTAGTGGACCTGTGAAGGGCTGTAATGATGATGATGATGATGAAAGATAGGAAAAGGGGGTAGGATAAAAAAAAAGAAAAAAGAGAATCGTCTGAATGTTTCTGTTCTGTCTGTTTCATATTAAATCAGACCAAATAACAGGCGGCAATCACATGGAGGAAGAACTCCTCAGATTTGCCTTGGGTATCAACACAACATGCGCTCTCCCCGAGAGCCATCCGCCAAACTGCTCGCCGGACAGGATAGCAAAATAGGTATTAAACTAGTCCCAGTAATAATGTCAAAATGTTGGAATTAGATTCTTTCTGTAAATTAAATTCTTTCTGTATAGTTTCCCAGGTTTTTTCTCCATCTGGTTACAATTCTCCCCATCGTTTATCGGATCTTCGAGCTACATGGCCGGACCATTGCTACTCCAGCTTACTAATCCGTTAGGCTATGTCGATCACTGTGGTTCTACTACAGATATCCTTATTTCTAAGTTTATCACGCAGAGAAACTCAGAGCGTTGACCTCGCCATAGGCCAGCAGTAAAGGCCCACGTCTCAGTTTCATAGGTAATCACTGGCAACACACACTGGTTGTACAATCTCGGTTTAAAATTTTTAAAAGTTATATTTTAAAAGTTCTTCACACTCATGCGTCCAGTCCGGCTATTTGTTAAAACCAACGGGCATAATTTCGAACAATCCATATCCATACTAATATTAAAAATGCGAAAGTGTGTTTGTTTGTTTGTTTGTCCTTCTTTCACGTCGCAACAGAGTTCATTTTTCTTTTTCTTAATGTACTATATGTACTAATATTAAAACCAATCATATACAAACAGTATAACTAAAGAGATTTTTCTTCAGTTTTATACATACAAAATACGTAGAAATTTTTTCCCCGAACTATTATAAAAATTATATTAAAACATTCCTACGTTGCATAAATCTAATACCAAATCATATGCAGTTGTGTTCAACATACGTCAGGTCCGCATAAAAATCCAAAAAAAAAATTTTTGCTTGCTTATATACTCACTACGTCAGCCTAAAAAAATCATATAAATAGATCACGATTTCCGGGAGATACATTCATTTGAATACGAACTGTCAAAGAGATAACATCAACATGGAGAAAAACGAAATTAGAGCTGTCATCAAGTACCTCTGTTTGAAAAAAATGTCTTCAAAAGACACACAGTGACTTAGTGGAAACATTGGGGGACTCTGCTCCTCCATATTCTACAGTTGCACGCTGGGCCAAGGAGTTTAAACTGGGCAGAACATCCACTGAAGATGAACATCGCGAAGGACGCCCATCAACGTCCCTCACTCAACGTATTACAACAGATCGGAAACGTGCAAATCAATTTGACGTTTCATTGGAATACCCTAGCAAAGATAAGAGTTAGGCGAACAAATTGCGAAGGAATGTCATAAATGTGCATATAGTGTTGATGATATTAATTGATTTTTTTAAAGAAAAATAAAATCACCTTTCGATCAATATTAATATAACTTACTTGTACATAATATAATAAGCTAAGTTTATTTAATTACAGTGAAGGTACAACTTACGCGTCACAAAATTACAAAATAAATAATTGTTATAAAAATAAAATTATTTGGTTTTATTTAATGAAGTCTTATTTTATGTGGAAAAAAATTTTACATGCAAATATAACAATGTTCCGATAAATGTAATTGTTCGTACATGCGTAAGTTATAAAAATTTTAACACGACTTACGGTGTTACCTTACTTACTTAGGTGTGTAATTGCTAAATTTAAAGTAAATATGAAAGGAAGTTCACTTATAAATATTATAAGGATCCGTCATATTGTGATACTGTTTCTATGAAGTAAGCCAATGACATAGGCCGGTATGAGTTTATGCAAATCTGTTTGTGTTGTAAAGTTATTTGATCGATACAAAATAATATTAAGCATTTTTTATTATTTACTTTTTACCACGATTTTACAATATTTTAAACAACCATTAATGATAACAGTAGTATTAAATAATTACATAAAATAAACAAAAATAAATTGTTTATTCAAACAAAATAAAAACAAATAATTCCGCTATCAAATTACGGATCGAGGATAAATCTTTTCTGTGACAAATTCTAGTATAGTGCATTTATTAATATATAAGTTCGCAGTTATTTTTAGAATTATGTTTAAAGTTTATATCATACTATTAAATTGTAAGTATTCGAAAACTTTGTGTAACAGCCTCTAGCAAGGCTGCAGTGGACTCGTGGTGTCTGTTATTTGCCATGTCATGTAGCAGACAATTACAAACTTTAATTAGACACAATTCTTGGTTTTAAATAAGTCAGTTTAAACATTTATTGATTGCATGCTTGCGAGTGTGTCTTATATAATATGCGTAAAAATACATCTCCAAGTTTAATTAAATCCTTGAACCGCGAAGATAAAAATACATTATGTATATTGATAAATTTAAAAGTGATTTCGAGAAGGAATGAAGTCACGTTCACATATTTGATTGCACAGATATTGTGTTCGAAATAGCTATGCTAATGAAATTGATTAATTCAATTCAAGAAGAGATAGAATGGCTTTGAATCTTTTATATTATTTTTTTATAAATAATAAAACCCGTGGGATATTGAAGCGTTGATCCCGCGCCTGAGCTCTCCGGTCATTTTGCCTTGTGCCGGTGGATTGCCGTCCAATCGGATTATGAGAGTGAGTGCTTAGATGGAAAGAGAGTGCGCCTAAGTTCGTGCACTATAACCCTGTCCTACGCAGACGACTGGTCTACGTTGAGACTGGCAGCCGGACTGGAGGACATTATTATTATTGTTAAGGCGTTTCAATTTAATTTAATGTATTCGTGTTCTTTAATCGTGTCTAGAGCTATTGCTTGCGTAGAAGATATTATAGAGCCCGGAAATGGTCACAATAACACGGAGGAAGCTTTTCTAGTGCTGCAGTTACGAAGCTGGTCGTTTTCTGAGTGTGTCAAAAAACAAACTTGTCTAACAAAGACAAACAACATATTCGAATTAATGTAAATATTACGAAGTAACACAACATCATAGTCATAATCGTAATCATCATCATTACAGCCCTTCGCAGTTCTACTGATAAACACAGGTTTCTCCGAAGAAATGTCACAAAGTATAGCCATGAGCCATCTGCATCCATCGACCAGGTCTTCGGTCCATTTGGTGGGGAGGGGCGCATCTCCATCTTTATTAATTCATCGCGCTCGATATATGTCCGGCCCATCATTACCTCTTCAGCTTAATAGTCAATTTAAAAGTCTATTTCGATTACTCTGCTTCATAGCTCACTGAGCTGACCTTAGGCATCCACATACGGCAAGCGGTGAATTTAAGTATAATAATTCCTACTGATAATATTATAAATATGAAAGTTTGTTTGTTTGTTGATTTGTTAATATTATTACACACAACTGATCAACAGATCTACATGATTTTTAAGATAAAAATAGATTACGGGTCGGAGAGTGATATACATACTTATTATTCCGAAAAAATGCATGGTTCCTGTGGGATTTTCTGGGGCGTAAGTATGTAACAACCTCTTTATGCTGTTTTAGGTTTTGGATTAACACATTGCTGTGGTTTTTCGAAACGATGTCGTTTTCCTATCTCCATATATAAATCGGACATATTATATAAATAAATATATTTGCGCAAGCAATATTAGGCGAGCTTTATTGTGCTTATTGCAGTGTGTTTGAAGCCTTATTTTGTAAGTTTCTATTAGTCCGGTGCGCGCACTGCGGCGGCAGGCACGCGAGCTCGCAATGAAATACTTGTTTCTGAGTTTTATTTGTTGTGCTTTCAGCATCGGAAATGGCAGGATTGCTAGTGATTTTGTGAGTTCATTATAATACTACTAAATAATATTATCAAAATGTGGTGTCTTAATAGTAATAAAAACAATGAGATTGTAGTTAATTTGTTTTGGAAATAGGGAAGGTATGGAGCTGTCTTATTTTGCTTTTTTTCCTTTCAATATTTATTACAAAATGGTACTAGCACTCATTGTATTAGCCGTCCACCTCAAATATTTTTTCTTCACTATTAGGCTCTTGAAATCAAAAAAATATTTATTTAAGTAGAACAATAAACAGGTGTCTGTTTTTGATTTTTCTTTTTTTTAATATTTACAAATGTACAGTGTCCTCGAGTTTGTAGAAACTTCATGAAAGTGTTTTCCAACATAAATTGTAAACCCGAAATTATTTGCAAAATAAAAAAAATCACTTAAACTTAATAAAATAAAGAAACTTTTTCTTTTACATTCCATCTGGAACTATTTTTAACACGCTTTAATTAGCATGACCTGTACATACATATATCTATGTAAGTGTGAATGTAACGGAATTTTATAATTTAGTGTGCACTCACTTCCAGGCGTTTCAATAATCTGAAAATTAGCAATCTTGTTAATAACCGATGAAAATCATCATCATCATCATCATTACAGCCCTTCACAGGTCCGCTGCTGAACATAGGCCTCCTCCAAGGTATGCCACAGAGCACGGTCCTGAGCCACCTGCATCCATCGACTTCCTGCATGTCTTACCAGGTCGTCACTCTCTAGTGGGGGGTCGCCCTACACTTCGCCTACCGATACGAGGCTGCCACTCGAGAACCTTTTTTCCCCAACGGTTGTCGGTTCTTCGAGCTATATGGCCGGCCCATTGCCACTTCAGTTTACTAATCCGTTGGGCTATGTCGGTCACTCTGGTTCTACTGCGGATATCCTCATTTCTAAGTTTATCACGCAGAGAAACCCCAAGGATATCCCTCTCCACAGCTCGCTGAGCGACTTTGAGCGTCCTCATACGGCCAGCCGTGAAGGATGCTGGCCGATGAAAGTACAATAATTAAATTATTGTTACCAAGTAGTCTCACTAGGATCATTATATCTCAAGGTCAAACATTTTGTGTGTTATTAATTATTATTTGTTCTGTTTATGTGTCCTTACGGCCAGATATCATATTATAAAATTTACTAAAGCTACACATAATGATTTCTTAAATTTACACGAACACCACACATTATTATCGCGTTTTATTAGCTTATTTTTAATTTCCTACGTTTCTTCAAAAATTAAAGATAGCCGGGCTGACTATGACATTGGGACGTCCCAGTTCCCCCGTGACCATGTGTGCTGTAAAGCACGCGAAACTTCTGAATATAAAAATAAGTAAAGAAATAAGTTTATTAAGTGCAATAAAATCTGTATAAATAGTTTTATTCAATGTTAAGCTACTGAGTTAAAATATTCACATCATATATGAGTTGACTGGCAAAGAATGCCTAATGGCAATTAGTCCACCCTATTTTATTGTAATAGGAAATACAATAAAGAATAAATAAATATATTAAGCTATTTACACTGTAGCAGCCCACAATCCCATATCATCTCGTGGGTGTCGTAAGAGGCGACAGAGGGAAATAACGCAGGAAACGGGCAGCAGCATCTTCTTAATAACAACTAAAATAAAACAACTGCCGTTGCCAACCTCCTTGCTAAACTTGGCAACTGTGGCAAGTATCTCCTCTTAAAGCAAACTATAGGCCTCTATTTTCATCAAAGGATATTTAGATAGGTTGTGATGGATATTAAAAAAAAAACACAGTACACGAACAACCCAATTTAAAAAAAATAGAAAACTTAGTGAGATAATAAAAAAAATCACAGAGTCACCAACACGCATAGAGGCAGCGCAGCGGATATTTTTACCTTTAAAAAATTAAAAAAAAAACTTCTCGTAGAAATGAGAGGAGCTCTATGTCCGGCTATGGAACGTATATAAGCTAAAACTACTACTATAGTTCGGCCGTTCAGAGAATGCGTTCCTGACACGTCGCGATTGAACTGATGACGTAACTTTGTAATGACGTTGCAGTTAGGATAAAAATATTTTTGCTGGTTGCTTACCGTTTTAACAATTGATGAGCATTAAAACAACATTATTATATCAATAATCAATGAATGTTATATTTTTGTGCCAAACTGAGTGTCAAATAACTTGGTAAACAATATTTTTCTAAATCTTTACTGCGCTATTACAAGGTTGTGTCAGCGATCGGTTTAAATTTTTTTGACCCCCTCTTAAATCGGTGTGTCCCACATAATTAAACATTTTTTTTTTCTAAATATAATCATAGTGTTGAAGTTGAAGTGTTAAAATAATAGTAATAGATATTCATGCAATCAATTAATTAAAAAGAGGTTTTTTTTAATAATGAAAGACCACTGATTTACTTGTCCCATGAGTAAAATTGTAACAAAATCTTGAAATTACTTTCCTTTTTCCTATGAAAACATACGACAGTTATAATTTAAAAAATCATAAATAGAAAAATGATATCTATGCGTAATAAAACACATTAACTTGCAGTATATTATGTATAATAATTAAGAAATAATTTTAAATATCGGGTCGTAATTTAGGGTCACCTGACATGTCAAGTATTGTTACTCATTTTAGAACATTATTTTAAACTACTACACATTTTTTATTCATGGTATTGGCAACATGAACGTTCAATTATCAAACTGCTATTTTTTTTAAACAGTATCAGTTGTGGTAGTCTAAAAGGACGAGAGTGTTGTTATACGCAAGAGTTACAATATTTTTGTCAAGGTAAGTTATCGAATTTTAAATGATTTTTAAAATGTATGTATGTATTATAGTATTTAGAGTCATGCTTTACAATCTAAAGATGAAATATAAACTATTACAAATGATTAATATACTCACTGTTTTCTTTTTTTAAACAATGAAATATACGAGGACCGCAAAACGTTACTTCAGTTTGGTTACGGTGTTCATAGTAACATTTAGGCTGACCAAGGAAGTAACCAAACTGACTGCTAAAGTGACGTTTACACGGTGCTCTTTCTTATATTGATTTTATTTAATAATTTAAATGTTAAAAATTATTATATTGATTTTATTTAATTCTTTAAATTTCATTTAAAAATCTTATATTGGTTTTATTAAATCATTTAATTTTATTCATTTTACTACAATTTCATCTTTATAAGTTATATTGTAGTCTTTTGTCACAAATTATTACTAATAATTCATTCGTTTGAGTTACATGATTAAAAAAAATTTTGGGTAGGTATTTTTATCATAAGGAGCTGATAATTATAGAGCTTTACTGAAATTCAAGCTCATTAGTTACTGATATTTTTAGGCTTTATAATGCCGCTCGCTGCAGCTGAAAAAATGAAAAGGTATAGAGAAAAGTTGAAAAAGAACGGTCTAACGAGTATGAAGCTCAGCGGAAGCGCAATATATAAAGAATAAAATTAAAAAAGAGGAAAGTTTCCGAAATAAGCATAACAGAAAAAACTCAGCAAAGAGAAAAGTGGAAAGAATATCAAAGAAAAAGTAGAAAATCCAAAAAATATTTAATTGAAGACAAAAAATATTTAACTGTAAATAAGAAATTTAATATAAAAATTAAGGCAATAAAAAAGTTACTAAGCTATCAGTCATTAGTCAGTGACATATACTGATGATACTGCCAATATGGGAGGTTTAAAACTACTTTTTTTAAATAATAATGGTAATAAGGTTTGGAAAATATTTTAAGTTAGTATTCTGTTTTATTAATTTACAAACAGAAATAGGTACAAAGTAAATTATATTATATATGAGAGAAATAAAACAGTTAACGTTGTTTTTATGGGTAGATGTTTGATGTGCAATTCCAGTGTGTTCCTAAAGATTTATAGATGTGATTTAAAAATGTGAAGCTAATTGTGAAATAAAAAATTATTTATACTATTTTTTTTTGTTAATGAATAGACTAAATATGTGTCATAGCTAGCGAATATAAGAATAAAAGAGTAAGTAAAACACAGGTTACAGAGATAATAAAAATGTATACTTAATAAGAAAATAGTTTAATAGTTCTCAATCATGAGAATGTGCCTTTACAATTTTGAACATGTCAACTTTGTTACTGTCCCAAAAAAAATGTGAACATATTTTGTGTTTTTTTGCTTATTTAATTGAGTTTTAAATGTAAATAATGCAGGTATTTTAAAGAAAAGACCATAATCTTTTATGATCATAATATTTTTGTTGAACTAAGATGCTGCATTTTATGTGACCTAAAAATTGGTGTTAACTTAGAACCAAGGTAACAAAACCAGTGATAATAATGATTTATTTTTAATTTAGAGGCCGTAATGTATGTTAATTATTGCTCTGTTTATATTTCCGTACTTAACACGATGGCATTTAAAATAAAAATATTTAATTATTTTAAAGTGTACTCATTTATTTTTGTCTTTTATAACACGTAACAAACCTGATTCTAAATCCTAATAAAAATTCACATTTCGTTATATTTTCCAGCGAAACGGGAGATTTTCTCAGTTTTTGATATAATTTCATAATTTTCAATAAATTTTCTAGACTATGCTTTTTATTTTAATGGAAAATTTTTGTTCTTAAAAATATATTAATAATTTTAGTAGGGGGTACAAAAAATTGAATCCGCCCCAGCGCTTTATATTTGTAGTGCTCACAGTATCGTAATCTGTTCTTATACAGTTATACTTTATAATCAAATACGTTTTGTTTTTCTTTTTAAAAATTTGAAAATAATGGACTATAAGATAACTTTTATTAAATATAAAAATAAAACTACGACCAAACCGAACGCGCGAAAGAAGATTTTTCGTATAACAAAACAGACAAAGGAAAAATTTTATTAAAACGATACGACATAATTTTAAAACGGATAAGTTTTTTGAGGGAAGCAAAAAATATTGATAACTGGGATAATGTCGTGTTCATTGACGAGACATGGCTAAACGCCAATCACACGGTTTCC